TCTCTCTCTCTCTCTCTCACACACACACACACACACACACACACACACACACACACTTCACCTAACCGCTGCTTTGGATCACTAATGTGCTCAGTACTAAATAGATGGTGTCCTTTTCAGTATGACCAGGTTTCTATAATCTTACTAATACTATTTGATCTCTTCCTCTATTATCTGTTATCCTGTGATCTGATCTTCTGTCTTCTGCTTCTGTATCCAATATTGTCATTCTTCTGAAGCGTCCATATTCCACAGCTACTCTTTGTTTGTATAAATGCAGTAACTACACAAAATTTGAAGAGGCAATCAGAGATGCATCCCTCCTGGAAGCTGGAATTGAAAGGGCAATGTGTGCATATGTTGATGGCTCTTCCTCCTTGCACCAGTTTCTTCAGAGACAGGGCAGCTGTGGCTGTCCATGTTTTTCCAGGCAGAACTAATTACTAGAGGAACCTCTTCAGGTGCCAAGTCGGACCCACTGAGACTTACATCTATTTATTCTGATTATGGTCTCTTGAATGGGACAGAGAGAATAAAATACAGCTCTCTAATAGTATTCGAATGCACGGCACCAGAGGCAAAGTTCCAGGAGCCAATTTCTATGCTTTTAAACACTATAAAGTACCATTTTCATTGTGTTTCTAGGAAAAGCAACCAACCATCTTCCCTTTCCTAATACTCATTTTCTGATCATTTAAAGTCATTTCCTTCCTCACCTATTGCATTTTCACTATCCTTATCTTTATGGATCTAACTGTGACCTTTTATCCAAGGAGATCGCTATGACTAATTCACAAGTCTGTATGTCAGCTCTAGACTAAACATAGTTATTATTCCTATTGTTTTATGGATGATAAATCATAGAAGAAACAGGGCAGGGGATTCCTCCAAGAATGTCCTTTCTTTTATAATAATTACCAACATCAACAATAATCATGTTTAGTGAATGGCAGATTTCAAATGTCTAGAAAGGAGGGGTTTAAATATTTTTGCCATAAATAAATGATCTTTGGGGTGATAGATATATCTAACCTGATCTAAACATAGCATAATGCAAACATGTGTAAAAAAAAAATCATAATACCCCACTACTGTGTATAGTTCATTTTACTTTTGTATCAGTTAAAAGTCTATGCCATTCTGGTTGGTATCCATGGGAGGCCTGCCCTCTTCTGAAAAGAAATAGAGGAAGAGTAGATGGAGGGGGCAAGAAGGGAGGCGGAAAGAGGGATTGTGAGGAGAGGGAGGGGAAACTGAGCTTCAGAATGTAAATAAATAAATTTAACTTTACAAATCAACACTTGTGCTAAGGACAAAGGCTTAAGTTTCAGCCATTTGTGTAAATTTCTCATTATGCACTCATAATTGATAAGCTGACAGTTTTTATCCATTAGTGTTCTCAACCACAAATGAGACATCTATATCACACACCCTTCCCACAAGGCTCAAGGAACATCCTGGATGAAAGAGCAGAAGATTGTAACAGCCAGAGGCTAGTGAGGAATAGAGGTAAACAGTGTGTCCTGGCTATGACAGGACCATTACCTCCATGAACTCAGAGCAGCTATAGTGACCTGCACAAGATCAAAACAATTGACATTCGCTTCAGGGTGGACTGGGAAAGGGCAAAAGAGCTCCCAGTCCTAGAGGAGGAGCCATTGACACTTGAGGGTTGCTAGAAAAAGATGAGTCAGTTTTCTATAGGGTGTGGCTCTTGGTAGGTTGACCGCGCTGCAGTGGATGGCTCCAAACCCATGCACACATCGACAGTACTAACTAGATTTGGTGGGTTATTTTTTTTTAAAGGAGTGAAGTTAGAAATGAGTATGAGGAGGGCCCAGGAGGAATTGGTGAGGAAGAAGAGTGTGGATATCAACAAAATATATTTTATACATACATAAAATTCACAAAAAAATAAAAATTATATTTTTAAAAATGGCCTTCCTGAAGCCTAGCATTTTTCTACATGTTTATCAAATTATTTCTCTCTCAACTAATTCTATAATGTTAGATGCATTTATTGATTTTTTTGGTAGTGGTAATAAGCATTAGGTCCTCATTAAGCACACACAGCACAGCTGATATACTTTTGGCCACAGGGCAATGTAGTAGCTGTCAGAATGCCTACCAGTATCATGTACCTCTTTAGGTATGTAATCTATCAGTTTGGATATACACAGGATCTGTGTCTTCGTCAGTGTTCTATTGCTATGAAGGGACACCATGACCAATGCAACTCTTATAAAGAAAAACATTTAATTAGGACTTTCTTGCAGTTTTAGAGGTTTAGGCCATTATCAGCATAGTTGGGAACCATGGCAGCAGCATGCAGGCAGATATAAATATTAGAGAGGAGATGAGAGTTCTATCTACATCTAGATCTGCAGGCAGCAGGAAAAGAAAGAGCCCACTGGGCCTAACTTGGACTTTTGAAACCTCAAAGCCCACCCCTAATAACACACATTTAGAATATTATTTCAAGGTGTGTTAGTTTTGCTTATTGCATTTGTTGAACTCTGGGAAGTTGTGTTACTGTGCCTGTCTAAAATACCTGATGGTCTAATAAAGAACTGAACAGCCAATTGTGAGGTAGGAGGGAGAAAGGATGGGTGGGGCTGACAGGCAGAGAAAATATATACAAGGAGAAAGCTGAGAGGAAAAAAAGAAGTAGCCAGAGAAGGAGGAGGACATCAGGGGCCAGGCACATAGCCACACAGTCAGCCCAGAGGCAAAAGACAGATGGGTTATTTTAAGTTAAGAAAAGCTGGCAAGAAACACGCCAAGCTAAGGCTAGGCATTTATAAGTAAGAATAAGCCTCCATGTGTGATTTATTTGGGAGCTGGGTGATGGGCCCCCAAAGAGATAAACAGCAAAAACAAACAACATACACTTCTTCCAACAAGGTCATTCCTACTCCAAAAAAATGCCACAAGTACTCAAACAAAGCTATACTTCTATTAATGCCACTTCCTGGTAACAAAGCATACAAATCTATGAGCCTATGGGATCCATTCTTATTTAAGCCATCACATTCCACTCCTTGGCCCTCATAATCTTGTAGCCATATCATAATGCAAAAAAAAAAAAATTCTTTCAGTCCAACTTCAAAAGTCCCCATACTCTATAACAGTCTCAACACTGTTTAAAAGTACAAAGTCTCTTATGAGATTCATGGCAATCTCTTAACCATAATCCCCTGCAAAATCAAAATTAAAAAGCATATCACATACTTCCAACATATAATGACATGGAATGTATATTACCGGTCCAAAGGGGGAGAAAGGAAGAATAGTGAGACCAAATACCAGCTGGGCAAACTCCAAACTGTGCACCTCCGTGTCTAATGTCAAAGGGTTCTTCAGATCTCCAACTCTTCTCAGCTTTGTTGATAGCAACATACTTCTTTCTCTTGGGCTGGTTCCACACAGTCTGCAGCTTTCTTTGGCAAGTATCCCATGATTCTGTCTCCTTCAACATCTTGGGGTCTCTAACACTTCATCTTCACATTTTCACACAAAGACCTCTCTGGGCCTCTGTGCAGGGACACCCCTGACACATGTATGGCCTTAGTGGCTTTCTTTAGGCATGGAGAGAGATTCCACAACCTCTTTTCTTGTATCCTTGACTCTAAAGCCAGAACCACACAGCTGAAGCTGCCAAGTTCTACTGTTTGCTGGGCCTGGAACATGGCCACCTCATTCAATTATGCTGTCATCAGCTTTCTGGGTTTGGTGGGTTCCTTCACTGCTTAAGCTTTTCTTTAATTCCTTTTTACAAGTTGGAAGGTTAACTGAGTGGGGCCTTGCCCTGAGGTCACCACTCTCTTAATTCCATTTAGCATCAGGCATTTTTCTTTAATCTTTTGTCTCCTTGAGCACAGGACTTAAGTCTATTACATTTCCTGGTGCCTCTTTCCTCCTCAGATTGTACACTTTGTATTTTTCCTTGCTCAGTTTGCTCCTTTTCATTACAGATCTGCATAAGAGTGACCACTAATAACCACATAACAGTGTCAGTACTAGGTCCTCTTGAAATCTCCTCTGCCATGCCATTAATCCAAAACTCTCCAATTTAGCCCAGGCATACTTTTCGACAAGGGCAGAAAGCAGCCACATGCTTCACAGAAATATCACAAAAAGTGTCTCTAGACCAATTACTAATACTCTTCTCTTCTGAAACATCTTGAGCTAGGCCCTCATAATATACATTGTTCTCAGCACCACTGTCTTACTTGCTTCTACTAGCATGTCCCATTAAGCCCAGTTTAAAGTGTTCAATTGCTTTCCTAATTCAAAGTCCCAAAGTCCAAATTCCACCAACAAGCAGCATGATCAGGCCTCTCACAGCAATACCCTACTTCTGATGCCAACTTCAGCTTAGTCAGTGTTCTATTGCTGTAAAGAAGCACCATGACCATGACAACTCTTATAAAGGAAAGCATTTAATTGGGGCTTTCTTACAGTTTTAGAGGGTTAGTCCATTATCACATGGTAGTAAGCATGGAGCTGAGACTTCTACATCTGGACCTATAGGCATCTGGTTGAGAGAGCCAGCAGACCAGCCTTGGGCTTTTGAAACCTCAAAGCCCACCCCCAGTGGCATACCTCCTCCAAAAAGGTCACACCTACTCCAAGACCAAACCTTCTAACAATGCCACTCCATGGTAACCAAATGTTCAAATCTTTGAGTCTATATGGGCCATTCCTATTTAAATCACCACAATCTATAAACAAAGAATAGATAGCAGTGAAGGGATAGCACCCTCTTGATTATTTTTGTCTCTTAGAGCAAAAGTAAAAGGAATTCACCAATGTAATGAAGTCCTCTAGTCAGCTGATTTAATCAAAGGGGTATTTTTAGGTATGCCTCACATAGTCGTTAAAAAAAAAACCTCAAACTTTCCTCCTCTTCTTCCTCCTTTGCCTCCTTTTCTTCCCCTCTCTTTCTCTCTCCTTTACTCACTTCCTCCTTTCCATACCTCTACCCATATCACCAGTCTTCAGCTGCCCCTCTCTCACACTAACAGCTTTGAACAACCAGGTATATTCCATAGCACAAGAAATAGACTCTTCGCTAAACCTGAAGAAACAAAGTAGATACTTCTGCTCAATCCCTAGATGAGAAATCAACTGGCCAACAACTTGATTTCTAGAGTTAAGAGAGATTTTAACCTGAGCACCAAATGGGCATTCAACACAGTTGCTCTAGACTCCTGATCTATGCTGAGATAATAAATGCATACCTGGTAGCTAAGTTTATTTGTTACATGACAATAGATGGCATACATGAAAGCCCATGAGACATGCAAAGGTGAATAATCCTCCATTTCTCACCTTCTCTTGTCCATAAAGCTTGCTGCAACAACATACCACTCGGTGCTCACACTATTTTCCAATAAATTCATTGCAATCCAAGCAAAGTGTATTCCCTCCTACCACTCCAAAGTATACATTGTGTTTGCTAAGACAAAGGTAACTGACCAGTCAAAGTATAAGTGGAAATTTGAAATTATTAATGTTACAAAGAAGCAGAGAATAAAAAGTGAGAAACCATTCACAAAACAAACCTCTCCTTTCCACAGATATATCACCTGTTATTTTAAGTACTTCATATAATTTCTTATTTATAATACAATGAAAATAATAATATTCCCCTGTCTTACTACTTGTCTGCACAATATGTTCACAAATACTGGAGGTGAAATTCAGGACTTCCTCTATGTTGTTTCCAGTGCCTGGGAAATATTGCGGCCAGAAGTGTGTCTGGCAAACACCAACAATCTGTCTCTGGACTTTCAATAGAAGCATCACCTCCTCCAAGAGAACTTCTTTGGTTCATACGATTTAACATTTCTCCTCTCCTCTGAAGTCATCACCCCTGCTATATTACACTACAGTTTTTTCATGGTTTCTCTACCTTTCGCTCCATGTTCTTGCCAGCAATGCCTCTATTACTTATCTATCCCTAAGACACAATCCAATATCTGACTCAAAAGTGGCAATTGAGCTGGAGATAGTTTAATAAATAAAATATAAGCAAGGAAATGAATTATTGCTTAACTAAAAACAAAGATATTGATCTGATATTTAAGATCTCATTTTAACCTTTCATTTTTATTATTTTAACATACATGAAATAGTCAAAATAAGAGCTTATATGCCACAAAATTTTTATATTTGACTATAAAGCACTCTTCTATTAGCCTTATGTTCTTAAACATATCTGGTGGAGCTTTGAAGGAGTGGATCTTAATCTTGTTGTATTGCTAAATAAATGTGGTTTCAAAGTTCCATCTAAATAGTTGTGTATTCCCATTGACAAGTACTACTTTTAACCTTGTTCAGGAAAGCTTCATTTTGCACCTAATGGAAGAGAATGAAGAGACTCAGAGCTACTCAAGGTTCTGAGATTTAAGTAACTGTTGAATGCCCATCCCTAAGACAGCTATATCACTCCTTCCAAAGCTCAGGCAACAACCCTGAAGAAGAGACAGAAAGAATAATGAGGAAGAGGGATGTGAAGCAATATCTTCTTGGCCTTACATGACTGGTTCACTCATGAATTTATTGCAACTGTGTTTTGTTTTGTTTTGTTTTGTTTTCACAAGACTGGGCCTTTTAATCTTTATTCATGGATGGTGGTTGGGGCTCTTGAGGATCCCTTGCCTGGGGATCTATTGACTATTTGTAGATGGATGCTGATGGAGAAGGAGTCATTGGATTCAGTGGTGTAGACAATGGTGAGTCTCCTATGTTCTAGTGACTAGCTAAAAGCAACCATCTATGGTGATATTTTATTTGTACTGAAATGTGATTTTATTTTTATGTTAATAAATAAAGTTGCCTGGGGGTCAGAGCTAATAGTAAGCCATAGCAGAAGTCTGGCAGTGGTAGCACACACCCTTAATCCCAATCACATGACAGGCAGATCTCTGTGTGTTCAAGAAAACAGAAAACAGCCAGCATGGAGACACATGCCTTTAATCTCAATACTAACCATAGAAGATCTGGAGGTCTGTACAGACAGGCAGTGATGAGGAGGTCATGTGGTTGGGTTTACAACCAATGAGAAGGCAGAAAGAAAGTCTATAAAAAGACAGAGACACAGGAGGAAGTCTCTGGCAGAGAGAAGGAGAGGAGTGGCAGTGAAGGGTTAGGTTTTTATCGCTTAGCTATTACTCTGACCCGTTGGGTTTCATCTCTGCATTGGCTCTGTGTTTCTTATTTAACAAGATGGTTACATCTACACCCATCATGTGTATATCCATGGTTAACTCAATAGGCCACAACACAAAATGATATAAAATCAGGAGAGGGACTTTTAAGGAGAAAGGGTAGGATTGGAGGAGATGGGAAGAGAATCAGAAATAGTAGGGGTAGGTATAATCAGAATATATTTTATACATACATGAAATTGTCGAGGAATAAATTTAGAATTTTTTAAGTATCCTATGATAATCACAAGTCAGTTATTATATAATTGTGGCTAGAGAATGTGCCAATGATGTCTCACCACTCCATGAGGAACTATTGGCAGTTAATGGTAGTTGGGGCAGGAAACGTCATTTTCCTCAGTGGTATAGTAATTGATAAGTTACCCAAACCATCTACAGCACATGGATATAAACTGTAGATTGCAGAAGGTTCCTAATGAATATCTTCTACATTTAGTTGACAAGAAGATTCCCAGGTCTTTCTCACAACCTACCTTTTCTCATGGATCTCTCTCCTGTGTAGCCAACCTCCATCAGGCAGACAGCTGGCAAGACCAGTCTTCTCTTTTTTTATTGAGTCTTTAGCAGATCCTTTTATACTAAACAGTGGTAATGCCTTTGCAGAGGGGTATATTAAACACAAGAATTAAGAAAAAATAATTTTATATTTTGCTGTATATAGAATGTTCACTTTAATCTTATATACAAAGTAAAGATTCATAAGTCTTAATTAAAAACAAAAAACAGAATGCTAGGTATAACATTGCTGCATTCTTTATCATGTTGCTTTTTGTTTGTTTTCTAAGTTTATTAATATCATAAGTGAGATGATTTATTCTTGTTTATCTTGCATGCTCATTCTCTGTGCATGTGCAGCACAATTGCTAGATTTAAATGCATCAACTGTGGTTGGACATAAGATATTAGTTCTTACAATAATGATCTGGAAAAACTATATCAAAGAAAAACCGAATCTTCATGAGACTAGTTCTTGCACCAGGTAAAAGCCAGGGAATTCCCATCCTAGACTAATTGAAATAGCATTCCAAAGAAGGGGAGGTTTTAGGAAATAAACAGAACTCAGTGAGGAAAGTGCCTGAGGTAGTGAAGGAGGAGTAATAGAAGAAGATATTAAATTTCCAGATCTTCACCACTTGGCAACTCTAAACAATTAAGATAACTTCTACTGTCTTCATGGAATGATAAAAAGGTTCCCACAAAACTCAGTGAGAAAATGACCCAGTTTCCAGTACTTGGGAATAACAGTGATTAAAATGTGTAATGAGAGCTCTGATATTCCTCTCCGCTGGGTATACCACACCTAAAAGATGCTCATAAAAGCAATGATCCAGTTATTAAGTCTATACACTGACTAATGTCACAGCTACCACAGTGCTTTATTATAAACACTGTCTGCTGTTGCTACAAAATTTACTTTGTCATCCTAGTATAACAGCAAGCAGGGTAACTATAACAGTGTGTGAGTATGGGCCTACCAGCAGCACATTGCTTATGGACTGGCCCTTCCAGTTATAGATAAAGTGAGTTCCCTCTCTGCAGTTCTGTATCACCAACAGAATGTAATTTGTTAAATATTGGGAAGACCATAAATAAGAATGGTAACTGGTTATTTCTTTAATTATAGAATTCAGATGAAGCTAGTTTTCTGTTTATCTAATTTACATCAAGCAAAAGCCCAAAGAAGGCCATGTTATTTAGGCTCAGTTCTGTCAATGTTGATGCTGGTAACCTAGACGATACTTATTTCATAATAACTAAGCCTGTGCTTGCAACCAACAACTGCCCAATTTTATGGTGCAGTAACAAAACATGTGAGTTGTGTTAGTATATATTAATTATTTGGTTTTTTCTGGCCCTTTCAAGACAAGAGAACTACAGTATATGATTTTCAAACATGCAAATTATGTCAAGTCACATCCAGTAGTGGTTCTACACATCTTCCCAGAAGGCATGCATACCCAAGCAGTGAAAATACTGGCAAGAACTCATATTCCCAACAGGCAGTGGGAGGATGACTGATGATTTTTTGAAACTACTCATGTCATGTGATGCACTAACCTGATTTTTTTCACTTAACATAAGATCATTACCAATTAACAGTTGCTTTGATCATTTCATGTCAGGAGCAGCATTCAACACATGAGACCATCAGTGCTCATCCAGATAAACCACAGTGTTCAGGGTTTTCAGAACAAATAGAAAATGATCCAATGATGGGAATAGTGCATAAAAATACATGTCATCACTTTTCATATTGTATACAGGTTAAATAATTCACTCAAACACAATAATTCAGGATGGGGAGATGGATCAGTAAATAAAGTGCCTGCTACATGAGCATGGGAACCTAAATTAAGATCCCTAGAATACACACCAAAAAAGTGGCATGTATTTGAAAGCCCAGTGATGGGGAGGCAGATGTAGGTGGATTTTTGGAGATCACTGACCGGTCAGCCTAGGCAGTCTGAAAAACTCAGGTGGAGATCAATTGAGGAAGATATTCAACAGCAACCTCTGGCCTGCTTGTGTACATACAAACACACCACACACAACAACAACGTGTTCTTTCAGCATTTGGGTTACAAAGCTACAGAATACATTTTGTAGCACATGATTGTTTTTTTTTCTAAATTTTCACCTCAACGACAATCCAAGGATCTCACTGTAAAAAACTCTTGACTCTATGGAAAAATTAAGTGTTCTTCTAGACTGTTCTCAGCCTATCCTATCTTCTCCATGTCTAGACAAAATACCAATGCAATCTTTCCTTAAAAATAAAAAGCATGAGATTTTTCTGCTTTCAGATTCCCTCCCCAGCATTAAGCCTAAGGTCCCAAATTGCCAGTAAAACAAGGGAGTGCTTAACCAGATCTGTGGTCTGCTGCTCTGTTGATCACATTAATCAATGACCTCAGAGATTCAACGGACAAGATGTGGTCCTGGCTACACCACCACATTACATCATCTCACCAATAAGTTTTGTATCCTAACAAATATTTGGGTATTGGAAATTTCCACAAATCAAGAATTTGTGTGTAAGATTTATTATTGCATTGAAATACTTGAAACAGTTGGACTAGTATCTGCTTTTTATTTTAAACTTCAGATAAGAACTATTATCTCAAAAAGACCAAGTGTCGGTAATTTCTTTAGCTCAATTGAAAACCTCAACCTTTTCTGTGGGTGCGATTAGATAAGGTGCCAAAGACATATGCAGTTTTGTGTTTATTTTATGTTGTGTTTATAAGAATCTGGGCTGTGACGTTTATAGCCTGAAGTAATAATTCAAAACTTTCTAAAGCTATTCGAAGAGACCAAAGTTTTACTAGTGTCAGTGGCCGGGGGGGTGGGGGGGTGGGGGGGTGGATAAAAGCACTTACTGCTTTACAAAATAACTCATGGTGTGTGTCTGTGTTTGGTTTGTAACTATCTTATTAAGGCTTTTTAAATCTATGTTTATCAGGGATATTAGCCTGCAGGTTTCCTTATTATTGTTGTTGTGTTTTTACTTGGCTTGGTTATTATAATAATAGAGTTGTTGAGAAAAATATGGAATGCTTCATAAACCTCTATTGTCACCCTTGCTCAGAGGCCGTGAGAATCTACTGTGTCGTTCCAATTTTAGTATACATGCTGCTTAAGCAAGCACATAATTGAGTTATCTCACCTGGAGAGAGGACAGGAGGAGGGAAGCGATCTGAGTTGTCTGCTTTGTTTCTCATTGTGCAAGGGTAGAAAAAAAGCAAAAAATAAAGAGGATACATTGTTACAGTCCGGTGCGATTCACTGTGCTTTCTGTAGCATGGAAAGTAATCTAATTTCTTTTTTTTTTTTTTTACATTTTTCTAATGGTTGAGTCTGCTTTTCATTTCTTCTATCACCCATCCTTCTAGAGATCTGATAATCTAAAAACTATTTTGTTTCTACTTTGGCAATATTTATTTGGTTTTTGCTCAAAAATAAAAATGTAAGAACTAAACAACAGTCTCAACATGCAGCACCTTCTCCAATTTTGTTTCACCCACACAATCTAATTTTTACTTTTTATTTTCTCTCTCAAACTCTTTCTGGTGCTACATGTTTGTTGGAAAGTAATAAGGGTGAAATCTTGCACATGGATTTGTCCTATTTTGTGAATGCAATCTTTTTAAATAAAAAGCAATCAACTTTGTTCTCTTTAAGATGAAAGTCAGAGCTGGGCAGTGGTGGCACACGCCTTTAGTCCTAGCTCTCAGGAAGCAGAGGCAGGCTGATCTCTGTGAGTTTGAGGCCAGCCTGGTCTACAGAGAAAGCTCCAGGACAGGCTCCCAAACAACATAGAGAAACACTGTCTCAAAAAAAAAGAAAGAAAAAATGATGACCATGAGAAAGGATCAAATCAGATCCCATCAAATTTATCAAGTTAGATATCTCTGGGGTGTTCTGGATTCTGGGTCTTGAAAAACAGTCAATCATAGCTACTATAAAGAGTTCTCTACTCCTTGCCATCCTTGGCAAGTCATATTATTTCATCAACAGAGTTCCCTTGTTTCTTCTCTGTCTCAGGTGGAAATATTTCAGAAACTATACAAGAGACATGAGCTTCTGCAGAAAACTTCCAGGGACCCAAGAGACACCCAAATGTAGACAGAAGAAGAGAAGAATATGCCAAGGACCTATGCCTCAGCACTGAACAAAGGAAAAATTAACTACTGCAAAATGGAGAGGGGCATGACCAGAAATGCTTCCCAGAAACCTCATAGTAAGGGAAAAATAAGCAGACTAGTTCAGTAAGTACTATAGCTAGAATGGAGAGAATCATTATGAATCCTTTTGTTTTTATTGTAAAGTCCACTTTGTCATGATTTTTTTGTCATAACCTGTTTTGAACCAGTTACAATTCTTTATGACTGGTTTAGGATCAGTTATATATTTTTTTAAATATCAGAACCTTAACTCTTTCATTGTTTGACAATGTTCTATTGTACATGAAAGTATTTACCCACGTATCAGCTTATAGAAACAAGTTTTTTCCATATGTTACCAATTATGAATAATAATGCTATGTTCATGCAGCTCAATCTGGGTTATGTAATGCACTTTTGTGTTTAACCTTTTAAGAAATTTCCAGGTTATTTTCCCAACATCTATACCATTCTGGTTTCCCTTACTAGTGTGAACATCCTAATGTCTCTACATCATCAGCAACACCTGTCACCTGAATCTTTTCCAACATTCATCCTAGCAGGTACAAGTTGATGCCATGTGAAAATGTGGTTTGCATTTGTCTGATGGCTAATGTCATCAAGCATCTTTCATGTGTTTGTTAGCTGCTTTCACATCTATCTTCTCTGGAGAAATAACTATTAATCCTGAGGTCTATGTTGAAATCAGATTGTTTTTCACTGTAGAAGTGGAAGATTTCATCATTCATTCTGTATAAAGTCAGTCACAAACTATATGGTTTGCATTTTCTTCCATCCTATGGATTGTTCTGAGTATGTCATTGAAAACTCAAGTTTTTAATTTTGACAATGTTCAATGTATAAATATTTTTCGTTTTGTTATGCCTACTTTTTAACAATAATAAAATTTTGCCTAAAAGTCATAAAGTTTT